GAGGTATTCATATGAAATTTGATCATCCTTGAAAAGCACTCACTGCTAATTAGAAATAGAAGGGGTGAAAGAGGGTCCCCTTGTTTCACCCCTCTCTTCATTTGAAAAAAGGCAGCAGGTGATCCATTAATAAGAATTGAAAGATAGGAACCAACTAGATTGGCCATAAGAAGTTTTTGGGAGTGAGAGTTGAAGCCTAGTTGTCCCAGAATATTAATGAGATATATCCAATCAACTCTATCAAAGGCTTTGGCCATATCCAATTTGATAATGCAATTGTCTCCTCTGACCTCTTTATCAATCATATGAACCATCTCTTCAGCCAAATGAATCTGTTCCTCAACACCCTTATTCTTTTGAAATCCTGTCTGCTCCTCTTATATGAATTTAGGTAGAAGGGTGGACAATCTTGTTTCCAGAATCTTGGTATTAATTTTGCTCATGAAGGATGAGAGGGATATGGGTCCGTAATCACCAAAACTTTTAGGATCTTCAATTTTAGGTATTAGTGTAATGAAAGTGCTACCAAAAGATTTGGGAACTGGAAATCCCAAGAAAAATTCCTGACAGGCAAGTAATACATCCACCTTGATAATGTTCCAGCAGGTTCTAAAGAAAAATCCATTAAATCCATCCGGGCCAGCTGCACTGTCTGGGTTAAGGCTCATAATAGCTTTGTAAACATCTGCTTCATTGGGTAGAGTGTAGATCAGTTGATTGTCCCTATCATCAACCACTTTATCAAGGTAGTTTGGAATAAGTGACTCCTCTGGCTGAGAGGCAGATGTGTAACAATTAGCGAAGTAGTGAATAGCCTCTATGCTAATATCCTCCTGTGTGGTCAATATGTTGCCTTGATCATCTTAGATTGATTTGATAGAAAGTTTTCTCCTTCTGTTTTTAACAAAAGAGTGAAAATTTTTTGAGTTACAATCTCCTTCAGTCATCCACTTGCTGTTGGCCTTTTGCTTCCAGTAGCTCACCTCTTTATTAAGACTAATAATCAGATTAGCTGAGGCTTGATGAGCAAGTGTTCTCTTGTCATCCGAAGGATCTGATTCATAATCTTCTTGAGCTCTGGAAGCTTAAAGTTCATTATCCTTGACTTCCTGAAAAATGTTACCAAAATGATTCTCGTTCCAGTGAGTCAGAATAGGTTTTAAACCCTTAAGCTTGTGAGCTAAACCAGACATGCCCCCAATTCTAGGGCTGTTCTCCCAATAGTTACTGACCACATCCAAGAAATTATGATGATGAGTCCAGACATTAAGAAATCTGAATGGTTTGGGGCCCTGAAAACCATCAACTTTACATCGGATAAATAAAGGCTTATGATCAGAAGTAGTCTTGCTTAGATGGGTGAGATTGATATCATTGAAAGCCTCATTAGAAAATTGGTTATTGAGAACCCTGTCCAACCTTCTCCAGAGTTTCCCTTTACTTCTAGTGCCAGTCCAAGTAAAAATCCCTCCAGAGAAGGGTGGGGCAGTAAGGCCACAAGCCTCAATGCAATCATTAAACTCCTCCAAGTCCTTAAGGTTAGGGTCTGAGTAACCTTTATGTTCATCCAAGGAAAGAATGGTGTTGAAATCTCCACCCACAAACCAAGGGTGGTTAATAGGACTAGCCTTAATGAGATCATCCCAAAGAATTCTTCTGTTAATAGTAGAATGACCCCCATAGACAGAAGTAATTCTGAGATTTTTATTGATTGTTGTATTCCAAAAATCTGTATGAATGCACTGAGAGTCTTCTCTAAAACCTTGAAACTGAAGTGTACTGTCTTTCCAAAAAATCCACATTTTATTGTGAAGCCCACCAATAGAGAAAGAGAAGCCCAAAGAGGTTTTGTACCACTCTCTTTTCTTGTCAGCAACAATGGGTTCAATGATGCAAAGAAATTCAATAGGGTAAGAGGAATTCAGAGCTTTTAGCCTGTTAAGGGAGGAGGCTGCTCTACAAACATTCCAGAAAAGACAATTCATAATAACTTTTTATGAAGTCCTTCAAGAGACCTAGTTTTACTCCTAGTCATAATTGTCCTAGCAGCTGGAGATGGATCCTTATGAACTGCTTTAGGTATTTCAAGTTTAGGAGTATTTTTACTAGGAATGGAAATATCAAACGGTTGGAGCTCTGAATTGATCCAAATAACTGGTTCCTTCTCTCCTTCAGAGTGATAACCTGCTTCGTTGATGAAGTTCTCTTCACTTTCTCTGTCTGATTCTATACCCTCCAGTTCAATTGGTTGAACTTGATTCATATAGCTGTCATCCATGGATAAAAGAGGGAGTTTAATAGAGGGGGTACTGTGCAATATTGGAATATGACCTTCCCTTTCCTTAGTTGAAGTGTTGAGATTACTGTGATTA